GCCCATCCAGTCCAACACTCTGTGTCACATAGGGGCCAGAAATACCAGGTGCCATCAGGAGGTCCAGCAGTGGGGTCAGGGCACGAGAAGCCCTCCCACTGTTGCCCCTCCCCCCAAGCACCAAGAGTACAGAGCATCACTTGCCCCAGACTGAGAGTTCCTGTCTATACCTTGTGGCTAATAGCCACTGATGGACCTCTGCTCCACATTCCACAGAGTGGGAGCCGTGATGGGAAAGCCTGGACTCTGGTCAATACCAGGCTGGCCACCAGTGTTCCCTCTAAGGTGAGTTAGTGTGAGCCAGGTCACAGTTTTTTAGCCTCCGGCTCACACATTTTTGTCTTAGCTCAGGAAGGATGGCTCCAGAGCAAACTAATTTATTCAGTAGCCAAATCGCTCACAACTTTAATGCCAGTTGTTCACAGAGTAGAATTTTTGCTCACAAGACTCCACAGCTTAGAGGGAGCATTGCTGGCCACCCTAAGGGGGGGGGAGGGCAGCCAGCAAATGGCAGCCTGGCAACCACTGCTGGTGCACAGGGAACATATGGACAAACTTTCTCAGATCCAGCTGTCCATTTACCTTCACTCTACACACTTCTCTCCGAAAAATCCCTAGCCTCCGTTCGCTATCCCTTGCTCCTATGCCTCAAGGATCTGTCCTGGGACCTGTTTTGTTCAACATCTTTATCAACGATTGGGATGAAGGGATAGAGGGAATGCTTATTAAATTTGCAGATGATACTACATTGGGAGGGGTAGCAAATACAGTAGAAGACAGAGTCAGGATACAGGATGATCTTGACAGGCTGGGAAACTGGGCTAAAAGAAATTTAATGAATTTCAACGGGGATAAATGCAAAGTTCTGCATTTAGGTAGGAAAAATCAAATGCATAATTATAGGATGGGGGAGACTTGTCTTGGCAGTAGTATGTGCGAAAAGGATCTAGGGGTCTTGGTAGACCATACACTGAACATGAGTCAGCAGTGTGATGTGGTTGCTAAAAAAGGCAAATGTAATTTTGGGCTGTATCAACAGAAGTATAGTGTCTGGATCATGAGATGTGATGGTACCACTTTACTCTGCTCTGGTTAGACCTCACCTAGAGTGCTGTGTTCAACTTTGGACATCACAATTTAAGAAGGATGTAGATAAGCTGGAACATGTCCAGAGGAGAGCAATGAAGATGGTGAGGGGTCCAGAGACCAAGTCCTATGAGGAAAGGTTGAAGGAGCCCGATATGTTTAGCCTGGAGAGGAGACGACTAAGAAGTGATATGATAACCATCTTCCAGTACTTGAAGGGCTGTCAGCTAGAGGATGGTACAGAGTGGTTTTCTGTTACCCCAGAAGGTCGGACCAGAAACAACGGGTTGAAATTAAATCAGAAGAGCTTTTGGCTAAACATTAGGAAGAACTTCCTGATGGTTAGAGCAGTCCCTCAGTGGAGCAGGCTTCCTCGGGAAGTGGTGGGCTCTCCTTCTTTGGAGGTTTTCAAACAGAGGCTAGATGGCCATCTGACAGCAGTGTGGATTCTGTGAACTCAGGCAGATCATGAGAGGGAGGGCAGGAAGGGTTGCCTCAGTGCTTAGTTCTTGTGGGCTTCTTTTTTCAAGCCCAGGCAAATTCCGATTGCCACTTTGGGGTCAGGAAGCAATCCTGGAGGATTTTTTTGTCATCTTCTGGGCGTGGAGCAGGGGTCACTGCAGGTGTGGAGGGGGAGGTAATTGTGAATTTCCTGCCTTGTGCAGGGGGTTGGACTAGATGACCCTGGAGATCCCTTCCGACTCTATGATTCTATTATTTGTCCCTTCTTAATCTTGCTTGTCGCCAGCCAATAACCCAGCAGAGGAAGACTCTTCTACATCCTTCCTGAGAATATTGTTTGGCAAAAATCTTAAGAAACAGCCCTGACCTGGATAGCCCCCCTTTAGTGTATATCTGTCTTCAGCTTGGTATCTGTTGTCTTGGCATCATACTTCAGGCTGTGATTCTGCTTCCTAGATCACTGGTAAAGGTTTCCCTTGCTTGAAAGCCGGCCGAGTCCGACTCTAGGGGGCGATGCTCATCTCTATTTAGAAGCTGAAGAGCCAGCGCTGTCCTAAGAGTTCTCCCCAAGGCGCACAGAACGCTATCACCTTCCCACCGAAGTGGTACCTATTTATCTACTTGCAATTTCTTGCTTTCGAAGTGCTAGGTTGGCAGGAGCTGGGGCCAGAGACGGGAGCTCACTCTGGCACTCGGGTCTCGAACCGCCGAACTACAGACCTTCCGGTCTGCAGCTCAGCATCTTAACCTCTAAGCCAACCGCAGCCCCTTTTCACACCATAACCCAACATAAATCTTTACCCATTTCTCATGCCCAGGTTTAAACCCCAACTACTGGGCACCTTCTATGCTTATAAGCCTTTCCATCTATCAACAAAACACTATCAAACCTTGCGCCTAAATTCTGCTCACCAGTTTGCAAGATGGATTTAGAGGGTAGATGCAACTTTTTCTTAAAGTCCATGGAAACTCCCTCCCTTTCATTACACACTCCTACCACTAAGGAAAAACTGTTCTGGTGGGCGCTGTCGTAGCTGCTGCACAGAGAAAGAGACTCAGAGTCTTGAACCTGCCACAAACAAAAGATGTATTGTTAAGCCATGCAAGGGAGTTATTACTGTGGACTAGATACTAATGAAGAGTTCCCCTTGGGTACCACCTGCATTACCATTCACTGGAATAAAATGGCCAAAGGTGGACTATCAGTGATGTGTTAAGTAAAGAAAGATTGCAGGGCTAAATGGGGCATCTGGATCTTGTTCATACTTGAGGCTTAAGTTGACCCTTTTGGAACATACACTAAATACCTGCTATGAGTGACGTAAGAGTTATTTGTGGAGCAACACTCCACACACTTGTAAGACCATCAAGGCACAGGGTTTCTGGCTTGTGAGATGACAATTCTACCTTCAAGGTAAAGGTTTCCCTTTCTCAAAAGCCAGTCAAATCTGACTCTAGGGTCACGGCGCTCATCTCTGTTTCCAAGCCGAAGAGCCAGCGCTGTCCGAAGACTCCTCCGTGGTCATATGGCCGGCGTGACTAAACGCCGAGGCACACGGAACACTGTTACCCTCCCACCGAAGTGGTGCCTATTTATCTACTTGCAATTTCTTGGTTTCGAACTGCTAGGTTGGCAGGAGCTGGAACTAGAGACGGGAGCTCACTTCGTCATGCGGCACCCTCGGGTCTCGAACTGCTGAACTACTGACCTTCCACAGCCTGCAGTTCAGCGTCTTAACCACTTGAGCCACCGCAGCTCCAAAAACGAAGCTGCTTATTACAGGAGCGGCTCCCACTTGGCCAGGGGAGAAGCGGCATCTTGTAAGCTGTGGCTTGGGGATGGGTGGAAGAAGCCAGAGGAAAAAACAGCCTGGGTTTGTGTGTGTGTGTGGGGGGGATTCAGCTCCTGGGCCACACTAGGTATTCCTGGTTTAAGGACAGAATTGATATGGCTTTTTTTGCGAAACAAAGCAACAAAAAGTGGAATATAAGTGACAGAAACAGCAGTGATGGATGGAAACAGACATGAGATATGCAAGTGTGCCGATGTCAAAATGCACAACGCATTACAGTACATGTACAAAACAGAACAGCAAGCAAAATCAACATTAAGCTTCAAGTGTAAAATTGCTGTACAAGAGTTTATCAGTCTGATTCTGTTCACTTTTGGCTTAAATCAGGCCCGCAGGCTTCCCCCCCAGACTACCAGGTAGTAGAGTTACCAGTGCATTGCCAGAATGCTATTATCACAAATAATGTGGCTGCATTAATTATGCCTGTATATAATTGGGCTCTTCAAAGCGACTATTACATTTCATAGCCTTTCAACCCCACTGCGTACAATTTGTATCTCTGTAGATCGGTTATGTTTCAGTGGAACACTTCTGACATCTGTGATGGCAAAGTCATTTTTACATGTGCTTTTAAACATAAACTGTCTATCTCTTGGGAGTGTTACAAACACATTCAACAAAGTTGTCAAAAATCTCACACCACTTGAAACGTTAGTCTTTAAAGGTGTTGCAAGAGTCCATGTTAACTGCAACAGCCTAAGACAGTTACTCTTACGGAGTCTAAGGCTTAAAGCATGTACTACAGTTCCTTTAGGAAGCACTTGAGCAAAATCCCTCTTTTGGGCTGGTACGCTACAAATGAAGCAGCAAGGTGGGAAAAGGGCAGATTATTCTCCTGAAGCAGCATTAGAAGAGCTTAGGGAGGGAATGGCTGGAAGAGATTCATGGCAGAAAGTCACTGGAGGCTACGTAAGATCATTTTGGAACACAACTGGAAGGAGCGCACCTCTGCTGTGGCAGTAGTGTGGGCAGCCTGACAACTGTGCAATGAGAACGGAAGAATATGTTGTCAAAGGCTTTCATGGCCGAAGTTCATTAGTTGTTGTAGATTTTCCGGGCTATATGGCCATGGCCTTGGTATTGTAGGGCTCCATCTTTCTGTGTTATACCTCTGAGGATGCCGGTCACAGCTGCTGGCGAAACGTCAGGTCCTACAATGCCAAGACCACGGCCGTTCAGCTTGGAAAATCTACAACAAGTAGAGAATGGAAGAAACTCAGCTGCACAGGGGCTATTCACAATCACCTCCTTTCTTAGTTGTTCATTCCCTAGTCTGATAGACATCAATATACCGGCAAATGTGACCAGACCACACCACAAGCATCTCCTACCTTCGTCACGTGCTATAAAAAAAGAATGTTATGCATCACAGAGAATGATCTTCTTCTTTTTTTTACACAGTCAGACGCAGTGTTTGAGTTATCTGTCCACAGCCTGAGCACTCCAATTCATCTTTTAAAATACAAAGTTTTACACTAGACACTTTGTTTTAACACCTAGATAACTTCAAAGGACAGAGGATGGCTCGGTTTATAATTTGCTATTCTCCAAATCTGTGTTTTTCAAAGTTCACGCGAAAAAGAAAGAGGGGGAACATACCTGTTATAGGTACGTATCCGACTCCTTGCTGATACACGGTGGGCATCAGGACCACAGGCTGTGGCTGCATCATCATGGCCGCTGGTAAGGACTGGAGAGCAAAGGATAACAGAGAATGTATGTTTAGGAAACTATTCCAAAAAGACAAACCGAGCAACAAGGTATCCGCAGAAAACCCCCACAAAAACAAAACACCCTTTTAGCTTCTAGCAGTTATTGTGCATTACTGAGGACACTCTAGGGGAGCGGTGGCGCAGGAGGGTAAATCCTGCATAACTATAACATCTGAACTGCCAAGCTTTGTCAGTTCTAGCCCCGTGCTGGTGTGAGCAACCAGCCTTGTCCCTAGCTCATCGTCTACCCAGCGATTCGAAAGCTTCGGCAAGTAGATAAATTGGGGACCACCCGCAAGGGGGTGGGCACACCACTCCCTTTGGGAAGGTGTTAGCTGCCGAGTGTGACTTCTGTGGCGCGGCAGAGATCAAAAGATGAAAAGATCTGTTTCGGCATCCCTGCAGTGGAGTGAGTTGGCCAGGCGGTGGCAGTGTGGCAGCGCGACACCAAGAAGCCCTGACGTCATCAGCCAGCCGACAAGAATACATGACGTTGGAACATGACTGATCCAGCCCACAGATGAATCCTCCGGCTAGCTACAATGTGGGTGTAATTAAATACTGTATGTTGTCTTCCCTATCCCCCACGAATATTGTTAGTCCAAATGTCATGAGTAACTGTAAATCGTTCTGAGCCCGCAGGTGTGTGGGAAAAAGCGATCAATAAATCGAAAGTATTATTATTATTATTATTTTTACAGCAAGCAGCTTTCTGGCACCAGTCAATATATAGTACCGGGAGTGTCCCCAAATTAACTGACATTTCAAAGGCACGATTACAATTTTGAGTACTGAACATAAGAACATAAGAGACGCCAATGTTGGATCAGGCCAAAGGCCCATCCCGTCCAACACTCTGTATCACACAGTGGCCAGAAATACCAGTACCATCAGGAGGTCCAGCAGTGGGGCCAGGACATTAGAAGCCCTCCCACTGTTGACCCCCCCCCCAAGCACCAAGAAGACAGAGCATCACTTGCCCCAGAGTCCCTATCTATACCTTGTGGCTAATAGCCACTGATGGACCTATGCTCCATATGCCTATCTAATTCCCTTTTGAAGCCGTCCATGCTTGTAGCCGCCACCACCTCCTGCGGCAGTGAATTCCATGCGTTAATCACTCTTTGGGTGAAGAAGTACTCCCTTTTATCTGTTCTAACCCGACCGCTCTGCAGTTTCATGGAGTGCCCACGAGTTCTTGTATTGTGAGAAAGGGAGAAAAGTACCTCTTTCTCTACCTGCTCTTTCCCATGCATAATCTTATAAACCTCGATCCTGTCACCCCTCAGTCGTCGTCACGTAAGCAAGCATAAAAGGAGAACAATATAGAGTTCCCAGCATAACTTCTGCATACAAAGTTACACCTCTCAGAGATACATACGCTTCGTTTACAAATCTTACAGGCTAATCAGAGATAGTTTTCAACCAATGGGAAAGGTGCGATGTTTTCATCGATTTCCCCCCCTCCCATTACAAATCCCTGATTTTCAATCAGAACGGTCCCCAGATAAAAAATTAACAACTATCCTACACTCATAGGTATGGGTTCCATACTAAGAAGTGTAGTTTTTGCCCTGATCTGAATAGCCCAGGCTAGCCTGATCTCATCAGATCTCGGAAGCTAAGTTAAGCAGAGCAGGCCCCAGTTAGTACGTGGATGGGAGACCACCAAGGAAGTCCAGGGTTGCTGCGCAGAGGCAGGCAAGGGCAAAACCACCTCTTGTGTCTGTTGCCTTGAAACCCCCACAGGGTTGCCATAAGCCAGCTGTGACCTGATGGAGAAATTTGGCAGGGTGTGTGTGTCAATATATAATGCAGATGTGACATTAATGAAATTCAAGCAAACAAACACAATCGATGGCTTGGGCCCAAATCATTTTTTTTGCCAGCAAAAAAAAGGGGGGGGGTCCCCTCACAGAATTTATAACCTCCGTTGTTAACTACTACATTTAGAAGAATACAGCAGTAGTTCTTCTCCTCCTCCTCCTCCTATGGCTGTGATCACATGGGCGGTTTGGCCCGACACAGCCACTCCTCCCCTCCGGATCAAATGGGCACAGTCAGACAGTCACATCTGTCAGGCGTTCCCCAGCCATACTTATCCCGTCATGGGATGACTTGGAGCTGGGTTAAAAAGGCACCACGTCACAAGGGGTGTTTTTAGTTCCCTGCGCAGTCATTGCGCATGGCTGGATGTCTGAATGCGGGGCAACGGATTTGGCAGTCTGAACCGGCAGATCTGTTCTGCTGCTAAGGATTTTTTTTAAAAAAATTGCCTATGTGTGCACATGCGCATGAGCACGTGTGCATATGCACGCACATGCGCACTTATGTGCACGCACATGCGCACTTATGTGCACACATGAATTTTGAATTTTTTTTGGCAGCGTGCCGCAATGATGTGGATGCTTTACCACGGGATGCCTTCATGGGTAACCTGCAGCAGGGTGTGCTATGTGGCTGATATACCCCACAATACTTTAAACCGGCTCACTTCGAGGCGGCACCATATCGTGCCAAGCCAAGCCAGTGTGACCACAGCCTCTATTTAAACTTACTGTATAGGACATGACCAGATTAATCATTCCTTCTTTGTCATCTCCCTGTCTTCCGCTTAGGCTATACCATTCGTCCTCTACTTTTCCTTGCTTCAACGATTCGGGGATAGTGATGTGTGTCCAAGCAATGCGGTCATCCATTGAAAACGCTCGCTGAAAAGGTAATAGAGTGTTTAAGCAATTAAATGTAGAAATTAACAGTTTTTTTCAAAAAAAAGAAAAAAAGGGAAAGTCCTTAAAAGAGCCTAATATGTAAACATCACTGTCATGCCTTCAGCCCATAAAAATTAATGTGCTCAGACAGCAGTTAACGGCATGCAGAACTGCACTGTCAATCAAGTAACATTCGTAACAGAATCATGGTTTCCTACAAACACATTCAACAAAAAACTGCAAGCCCCATCAGTGCAAGGCTCAGCAGAATGCCACGAAGTATCACCCATCCTAAACTCTTGCACAAGGGCACTATTAAACATTTTCCCTCTGACACATACCAGTTTTTCTCTCTCCAAGGAAGTAGTTTCCATTCATAAAGTGAAATGTTATAGAATATCAAGACTTATACACTGTAAACAGGAAAGTAATCATTTAAGAACAGAAGACCCACCCTATTGGATCAGAGTATCCTGTCTCACATGGTAAGACTTAAGGCAAACAATGAAAAATGAGCTGCAGTCGTAAATCCAGTCATAAACTGCAGCTCATTTTTCATGGTTTGCCTTAAGTCTTAAAGGACCGGATTTAGTTGCTTTATGGACATTCAGAAATCATGTTTTTCAGTCCATTGGAATTGTGAAGGTCTCTTCTGGGACTGTAGACTTTTTTTCAAATCCCCAGCCTATCTGTGTATCAGTTGTATTTCATGTATTAAATAACCAACAGTATGTTTAATAATAAGAAGCATGTTTAATAATAAGAACAATTCATGAATTTAAACAATTTGGAGCTTTGTTTGATGTTAAGTCACGTATGATTCATAGTAATTCATCTATTTCCTTAAACTGCTGCAAGTCACTGGTCTGATCCAACAGGTTTCTTTCTATGGCTCCCCCAGGCAAGAAAAAAAAATACTGCAGAAGTGATCCTACAGGCCCAAAAGATTATGACCCTCTAGGACAAGGGTGGCCAAACTGTGGCTCGAGAGCTGCATGTGGCTCTTTCATGCATCCTGTGCGGCTCCCGGCAGGGCGGCAGGGGAAGCTAAATATCATTAGCAAACAAATATCATTGGACAAACAGATATCATTATCAATATCTGCTTTTACCGCTTTTGTTATTATTTTCAGCAGTCTCGTTTAATGCTAATAAAAAGCAGATCTGCATATCTACCAGTAATATCTGCCCATGTCTTGCGGCTCTCAAGCATCTGACGCTTATTCTATGTGGTTCTTACGTCAAGCAAGTTCGGCCACCCCCGCTCTAGTGTGAACTGAACCCCATAATTATGTCCAAAAGGCATTCCCCATTACTAAAGCCGCTCTTGGTGTAAGACAGGGGCTGGTTGGTGGTGGAGCCATGGAGCTAGAAAGTGCATCCAGGATGAGGGTAGATGCCAGGCTAAGGGCAGGCTAGTGGGTAACAAATGTTGGCCCTGACTGGCTGGAGGGTGACCCCTGGATGGGAACTGATGCTGAGTTAGAGGCAAAAGGAGACTGAAATAATCACTAGACTGGAGTGACAATATTCTCTAAAGTTTCAAGGGAGTGTGCCTGACTGGCAAAACTGAGGGCAGAGGTCTGGCTGGTAAAGGTCCGGCAGAGTGTGTCCTGAATGAGGCAGATGAAGGGCAGTCAGAATGATAAAGCCTGTTGCTATACCTCCTGTGGAAAGCTGGTCGGGGCTGAACAACATTGGCAAACCACAGATCAACACGGGAATACTGAAGAAGCGTAAGAATAAACGAATACTGATCTAACCTCATCAAATATTTCAAGATAGAAAGAATCCACCCCAGGGGGAACAGTACACTGAATAACTTTGTTCCAGCGGGGATTTTTGGCTCCGTTATGAGCTGTAGGAGTTTCATAGACAGCGTAGCCAAGTCGTATTCTACAGTATGGGTCCATGCGTGTCATGCCATAGTTCTTCGCCAGTTTTGCCTAAGGAAATAAACATTAAAAAAAAAAAGGAATTAGTCATTTTGGTACCACTTCCTAGATTGAAACATTATGTCTTTCAGTAGTAACTACATTGTAATGGTTATATCAACCAGAAGACATAATTTTATAGACGTAGTTGATCAGAATCGATTAAATCAGGATCTTCTGCCCAATCATTTATATCAGCTTGAATTAAATGCAGTCCATCCTTCTGAAGGGTCAGTTAGACAGGTGAGGATTAGTTTGTCTCAAGGCATGGATTAGATAGTGGTGGGGTCAGGAGAAATCTACATTAATGACTGGGAAACATTCTGGGGAACGGCCTGACCCTGCATGCTGCGAGGGTGAAGTTCCCTGGGAGCCTCCATTGCCCAGTCACTGTCCTGCCTGCAGCCACAGTTCTAACTACTTACGCCCAGCCAACAGAATGTCTACAGGAACGTCACTCTGCGTCATGATTTCCCAGAAGGTCATCTTCAGTGTGCCTGAACTAGTGAACTAGAAAGAAGCCGATGGAGGGGCGGGGGCAATGTACACATGCTGATTTGAGCCAGTTTAGTGTAGTGGTTAAGTGCGTGGACTCTAATCTGGGAGAACCGAGTTTGATTCCCCACTCCTCCACTTGCAGCTGCTGGATGACCTTGGGCAAGCCATAATTCTGTCAGAGCTGTCCTTGAAAGAGAGCAGTTTGTGTCAGAGTTCTCTCAGCCCCACCTACCTCACAGGGTGTCTGTTGTGGGGAGGGGAAGGGAAAGGAGTTTGTAAGCCGCTCTGAGACTGTGCTCTCTCTCTGGAAATTTTGGTGATGGCCTTCTTTTGCCGTGGGCAAACAAGAACGACTGGAACACCTTTGTTAGAGAGACTGTGCCTTTTATTAGCAGTACATTCCTAAAGCAGCACTTTAACTATTATGCACAAACAGTTGGACCAGAGCATTTGCCAATAAAAATATTTCATTTACACATTATTTATTTACTTAATTACTTATTTATTTATTTGATTTACACCCCGCCCTCCCCACCGAGGCAGGCTTGCATAAAATTCCATATATAAATACAACTAAAACCAATCATAAAACAACCTTAAACAACTCAGTTATCAGTTATCATAAAGTGCTGCAACAATCATGTAATAAAGTGCAAGAGCAGTAGATTTCAAAGTCACAGTGCTACTTAGGTGACAGTACAGTCATGCTGGTATTCTCAACCAGTTTATTAGGGCAGCGAGCACAGGCTGTAGGTGGTGAAGCCAGGGCACACGGTCCCTCCTCGGATGTTTGATACGGCTCCTTGATTGAAGGCCTGGTGGAAGAGTTCCGTCTTGCAGGCCCTGTGGAACTGTAAAAGGTCCTGCAGGGGCCTGATCTATTCTGGGAGCTCATTCCTCCAGTATGGAGCCGCCATTGAGAAGGCCCTGGCCCTGGTTATAGCCAGCCTGGCATCTTTGGGGCCCAGGAAGGCCAATCGATTTTGGGACCCTGAATGCAGCGCTCTCTGGGGAATGTGGGGAAAGGCAGTCCTTAGGTATGCTGGACCCTGACCATAAAGGGCTTTAAAGATAAGAACCAGCACCTTGAAGCGAATTCAGTATGCTATCGGCAACCAGTGCAGTGCTTTCAGCACAGGCTGGATGTGCTCCCGCACAGTGAGACCCATCAATAGCCTGGCCACAGCGTTTTGCACTAGCTGCAGCTTCCAGATTTGGGACAAGGGCAGCCCCATGTAGAGAGCATTACAGTAGCCCAATCTCAAGGTGATCATCGCATGGATCACTGTTGCCAGGTCATTGCATTCAAGGAATGGAACCAACTGCCTAGTCAGCCAAAGATGATAAAAGGCTGACTTGGCAGTGGCTGCTACCTGGGCCTCCACTGTCAAAGAGGCATCCAAGAGCACTCCCAGACCCCTAACCTCCGGCGCTGGAACCAGCTGTGCCCCATTGAAGGTTGGGAGTGGGATCCCTACCCTCAGGCCACCCCGGCTCAAGCACAGGAACTCCCGTCTTTGTCGGGTTCAATTTCAGTCGGCTCAGTCTAAGCCAACCAGCCACGACTTGTAATGCCCGGTCCAGATCTCCCGGTGTAGAGCTAGGCGTCATTTGCATACTGGTTACACCCCAGCCCATGCTTCCGGCCAATCTAGGCAAGGGGGCTTCGGGATACCTGTTCCCCTAGTGTCACCCTTTGTCCCTGACCTTGAAGAAAGGATGCAAGCCACTGCAAGGCAAGTCCGTGACTCCAGTCAGCAAGGCGGTGGATCAGCAGCTGATGGCCGACCGTGTCGAATGCTGCTGACAGGTCCAACAACAACAGCACTGCCAATCTGCCTTGATCCAGGTGCCTCCAGAGGTAGTCCGTGAGGATGACCAGTGACATCTCCATCCCATGTCCTGGGCGAAAGCCGGACTGGAAGGGATCTAACATGGAAGTGTCATCCAAAAAGCTCTGTAACTGGACTGCCGCGGCCCTCGCAATTAGTTTGCCCAAACAGGGCAGATTGGAAAACAGCCAGTAATTTGCCGATTTGGCTGGATCCAGAGATGGCTTTTTCAGGAGGGGACGAACCATGGCCTCCTTAAGTGCCCCAGGGAACAGAACCTCCGAGAGGGTCTTGTTAATAATCTCCTTTAGGGCACCTCGAAACCCATCGTGACCAGCCTTAATCAAATCAGCCACAATGGGCACAGATCAAAGAGGCACGTGGTGGGCATATGGTTAAGAGCAATTTGCCGACTTCCTCTAGGCTGAGCGGACTAAAATAATCCATAACCCGAATAAAAGACATGCACGGGGCCTCAAGTTTGCTCACTGTCTCAACTGTGGCGGGGAGGTCGCAGCAGAGCGACAAGACTTTATCTGCGAAATAGCTCGTAAAAGCCTCACGGCCAATGTCCAATTCTCTAGCATTTGGCCTGCTTTGTGGCAGAGTACTCATAGACCGAATCATTCTAGATAACTGGGCTGGGCATGAGCTCGCACATGCAATTCACAACAATAGGAGACCAGAATTTTTCCCCACGAGTCATGGATAATATGGCAGGACAACTTTTGTCAAAGATTTGGCAATACATTTGGCAAAGACTGACAAAGATTCTGTATTTGCTTCTTGATTATATGAATACCAAAAAAACAAAGCTTTAGACAGCATGTCCCCAAAGTTTCTGAAGTCCTTTTATTGAACAATTTTTCAATTATAACTAGATATTTAACTGTAATTTCAAGATGACCACAAACCAACTTAACTTTTCAAGTTGATGAGAGGCTTACGTTGACATTCAAATAAATACTGTATTTAGACAGAGTTTTATTTTAAACCCTTGTACATATTCTAAGTATCTAAAGTTAGATCATTTACAGCTCACTAATAATGACCATGTTAATCCTGTTCCTTTCATCATACAGGGGAAGATGGTACTATTATGCATTAAAATTATGCACTCATGAACGTAACGCAGCACTTATCACTGTGTGCTGTTTGTTCTACCCTGAAAGACCTACCACACACACACTAATTAGGTAAGAAACCAGAGGCACTCTACTGCCACGTTCTATGCATAATGATCTTGATAACAAGGCTTTTAAGCACTATGTTCAAGGCATTAGCAAGAAACAAAATTTAGCCCATTAAAAGACTTGTTTTAAATACCTGTACGACAGTAATGCTCAGTCTCCCAACAGTGCCCATTGCGCCTCCATACTGTAACTGCTGAGCTGCCTGAGCATCCAACTGTATCTGCTGTTGTTGCTGCGTTGGGGTGATACGGAGGAAATCCTGAGGAAGTTCACCAATGTATACCTGCAGAGAAAGCGTATAAATGTATTAGATTAAAATCCGATCCCCTGGAAGTTGCTTTTTATGGCAGAAATGGACAAATTGACAAGAAAACTCAATAATAAAGAAGATGAAGAATTCTTTGCAGATTGGATGGACTTTAAAGAATATTTAGAGAAACATTGGGATGTTAAAAACAACCTATTTTGCTTTGATAATTATTAAGAATAGATTGAAGAAATAGTCGAACAGAAGATGATGGTAGTTGAAGTAACTGTTACCTATAAAGTTGAATATAAGATTAAGGTCGTTAAAGAAAATGTCACGTATTAAGTTTTGTTTTAGATGAAGGAATGGATAAGAAGAAGGAAGATTTGGTGGGGGTGGGAGCACTGCGGGAAGCCTGAAGAAGGGGAGGGAGGGTGAAAGGGAAAAAGGGTATACTGTAAATGATGAAATGTTATAATAATGGACATACAGTTATATCCTGATAATAAAAATGTTTTTTTAAAAAAAAAATCCGACCCCCTGGTTTTTCCTTGCCTTCTCCCACCCGTTCCCTTTAAACACCTCATACTTTGATTCCATTCATCATCTCTTAGTTAGCAATCTGCTTCTCGTCAGCCATCTCTTGTAACAAACCCATTACTTGAACCTCCTTGCAAACTTGCGATCCAGCATTTCCAAGCACTCCTCCAAAATACTTCCCTGATGTTTTTTCAACTTAACTTGTGAGGAATATGAGGATTACATTATGGAATGTAAAACTGTTGCAGGAGACCACAGCTATTTTTTTAAAACAGTGAATACTTTTTATTAGTTTTTCAAACAATACAATTTCTCACAGGTGTGCAGCTGCGAATGTAAAAAAATAAAACAAAAGGAACAGCACATTCAATAAATCAATGCAAACAAATAATCATATGAAGGTAAAATACATTACATAAGGTAGACCCAGATATAAATTGCCTTGTGTGAAAGTGTTGGTTGAGATAAACTGTGGTAGTGAAGCATAGGTGTAGATTTACACTAGCAGTTGGCGTGTTCACGACTAGACATTAGAGTTTCTGTGAGCTGGTTGCAGGATGCCAACAGGCGCCCCTAATATGTGTTAAGAGTGAAGTATGTTTAAATATGATGGATTATGTGGTTTGTCATAACATGGTCCAGCAATGGGAACCATTTTTCCATAGAACTGGAAATTTCAGGATATATTTCCAACTGTTGGATGCGATCTGTAATTTTCTTCATAATGAAGTGATCCCATATCTTACTGAACCAACAAGTGCGCGTCTGCACTATTTAACTTACATGCAACACAGATGGTGAGGCCAAGCTCTCTAATCTCCCCTCACGGGTTAACATGAATATTAGAAGGCCCAGTCTGGCTCACAGGTGTTCGTGATCTCAACATCCCTGCAGCTACCATCCTTATCTTTTTCAAGGCTGGACTCAAGAATGTGGTAGTTGGTTAATCGTGGGAATCTGTGCTCAGTTGTATAACCAGGTTTTTTGGGGGGAGGGGGGACTTTGAGTAGTTACCAACATCCTATGGAAAGTTCTAACAAAGAACAGTCTCTACTGGACCTGAAAGACCACCTGATGCCAGAGGGCAAGAAGCTATAATAAGAGTACAGGCCATAGAGGGTTATGCTAATGCCACACCAGTGTGCTTAGATACGTCGTGCTTCATCATGATGGACTGCAACGTACCGATCGCTTTTATGCTACGGTGTGGATTTTATGTTGCAAGAGATTGGCCATCTAATGCTAAGGTACTCAATGTATCAGATAGAAAAGTCAGCGTCTTTTTTTCCTTGTTGCTAAGCTATGGACATTGTACCGCATGGTGAATTCTTCTAATAATTTAATAAACCTTTATACATTTTTACAAGGTTTGGTTTCCTTGTGTACATCCAACCTCAAGGACCCACAGGTCTGGGAGGTTGATCAGGGGTCCCATGCAGGCGACCGGGAGCAATAACCCAGGGGGGAACCCAGGCTCCAGTCTCTGACATAGTGGCGGCTCAATGGGCTCGAGGTCCTTGCTCACAAGTAAACCTGTTTGGCAGTGCACTCTCTAAGCTGAGTAACGTGGTTATTTTGGCTAGTCAGGATGGAGAGACAGGGTAAGATGGCAGCAGCAGAGCTATCTGGGACTTTCCGCCATTGGTCATGAGACTGATGTTACCCTTGGCCAAGATTCTGAGGTGCAAACCGATGCCAGGAAGGGCAATGGTGCATGGAAGATGAAGGCCTTGGTCTTCAAGTATGCTTGGCAGGATGTGGCTGGAGAGCTCCATCTGGAGGCCGAGCCAGTGGTGCACAGCAAAACCAGATTTCTTAACACTTCAAGTGGGCTAGATGTCGGCGAGGGCGAAGACCAACTTGATGATTTGTTGGGTTTTGGAGGCACCAGGGAATCTCCAGTCTTTTGACATCCCAAGGACCAGCAGAGAGACAGCAAGAAGCGTGGAACGGGGCTGGCTCAGGTCCGGGCTCCAGTGCTGAGGAGCCAGGAAGGAAAGGAGCAGCCAACGTGGAAACCTGTTGGAGGTGATATCACACATGAAGCTGTCTCATACTGAATCAGACCCTCGATCCATCAAAATCAGTATTGTCTACTCAGACCGACAGCGGCTCTCCAGTGTCTCAGGGAGAGAAAGGTCTTTCACATCACCTCCTTCCACAGCTTTTAAATGGAGATACTGGGGATTAAACCTGGGACCTTCTGCATGCCAAGCAGAAGCTCTGCCACTGGGCCACAGCCCCACCCCCTGCACAGCATATCAGAGCTGGCGCTCCCAGGCTGGAAACAATGGTGTGGCTGATCAGCCTGGAGACCTGTGAGGAATGTTTACAGATTTAATGAATCTGCAAACGTGGCAGATGAATTTCTTGTTTCATGATGACCATGATGAGAACTAGGAGAAACAAAAGGATCCTGTGTTCCAGAGTTCCCATGCTGTATTTTAATCTCTTCAAAGCTTCTTGGGAGGATTTTGGCATTCTAGAACGGGAAGACATGAAGATTCTGTGTGCCCGTAGGCGTGGTGAGTGACCTTCTGGGAGAATTGCTGGCTGGGACTAGAAACTATAGACACTTTAAAAGACTGGCTAGACAGAGATTTGGCTTGGTTGAAGATCAGGTACAGCTACAGCTTCAGTTCAGAATGGCAAGCCCTAAACCTAAAGAGTCATACACAGCTTTCATGAGCCAACTTTGTAAGCTGCTGGATGTGTGGGTAAAGGCAGCACAGGTTTTCATTCATGCTCAGTTAAGGGGCATTCTGGTTAAAGAATATTTATTCCAAGTCTTGCCTTTAGATATTGTGGTCCCAGTAAAAACTTGCAATCCAGCATCTCTAACTAACATGGCTATTTTCACAGACCAGCTTGCCATACAGCAGTGTAATGAGAATAAGGGCTACACGTTTTCTAAGACTGTGATAAAGAGACAGGAAGGGCATAGGCCAAGAGCCGAGCAGCTTTTCTAACTTTTCGATCCACCTGGGTCAACAAGCCCCACTCCTAACACGCGGATGAAGCCTGCGGCGGCAGCATCTCCTGATCGAGTGTTATTTTTGCCATGAAAAGGGGCATGTGAAGAGGGACTGCAAGAAGTTCTTGCAAAAAGGGAAAGACGCTACCTTGCCTAGAGTGCAGTTTGTCTCTAAGGAACAGCCAGAATGCTGGGGAATCAGATGAAGAGAACCATCGGACAGTGTATGAGGATGGAGAGATTCCTCTTAATTGCTGTTGTTAAACAAGGCAAGTGTCCCTCGGGTCCAAGGCCTCAGAGAGACCAGATTCAAAAGGAAAGAGAGCAGCAGGCGGCTTCCTTAAAAGAGCAGGATGATGTTAATTCTGATGCTGAGGCATCATCTAGTGGCCAAATGGCAAAAGTGATTCCAGCGAACTTGATTCTGTTGTCCGGTCAGACAGCTTGGGTGGAGGACTTGAGAGGGGATGTTGTTGTTGGCAAAACTACACTTCTTTTTTTTTTAATAGTTAACTCTCCTAAAGAGGAGAGAATTTTATTGCTTTAAATTTTTCAGAAAAAAGGAAGGGTATATAGCGGGATTAAGAAAAGTGGTGAGTGGTATCTTTGTTAGTAAATTAATCTTTTATTAGTAACAATAAGTTCTTCAGCTTCTTCTGTGTTTGACTGATCGTCTTTCATCTTAACCTGTAAAAACCAAAATTTTTAGTAATGTTAATAGTGTCCTTTTGGGTTAGTACAGTACTTTAAGGCGCTCTCCGAACAAATCTTCAAGTCTTGGGGTTTCTTCCTTTTACATCCCTCAGGTTATAAGATGGACCTTTAGCTGCTCCTTCTTCTTCCGGTTTCATGTCCTCCCTCTCCGAGCTGCTGTCTTCTTCTCCGCTCAGTACTTCGTTTTGAGTGCCTCAAAACGAGCTAAGGCCCATCTATAGGGCTCATAGGTAATGCTAACTAAATAAGGGGCAGCAGGAAATTAGGCCAAGATTTTATATTTCTGAAGTTCCTGGGTAGCGAAGCTTCTTCATTTTGTAATTCAATATCACAAAACCTCTGTGCGACAGCTGTTCTTGCCTTCATTAACATCACTTCTTTACCTTCTAACAGGGGCAAATGACCAGTTTCCGTTTGTGATGCTCTGGCTCACAGAAGGCAATCCCCACATTTCAAACATTCTATTCACATCAGCCTAAATTCTAGTCGTGGAATAGTTCAGATTGAAATGGGCTAAGGAAATCTCATGATGGAGTGCGTTAAATAATGAAAACTGCACTTTAACATTCCGCAATACAAAGACTACTTAAACTGTGTATTACATGGAAAGCCAGCTTTAACATTCTACCTTGCCCCATATAAAATGAGGCAACGTGATTCGAGACTCTAACAAAAGACAACAGGGACAGCAGGAGTTACACCTCAGAGTGTTCAACTCTGCCAGTCTTGCAAATGCATGCCTTCATAAATAGCATCCTGTTTCAGGAAATACAAAGGCCCTAGGCTACGGTTTTTGAAGATGGCAAAG